TATATATATATAATTATGTATAAATATATTTACCTTCTGCTAATTTTTTTAATTCTGTATGCTGATCTAACAAGGAAATATTTGATTTTCTTCCCCAAACTTGTCCATCATCATCATCTGCATCATCTTTCTCATTTTCACTACTACTTTTTCCAATAATTCCAACAGCAGCTTCATCTTTAAGTTGTCCAAGCTTACCAAGCTTAGTTAATTGTTGTTTTTTACGTTCTTTAACTGGTACATAAGGAATATAATTATCATCTGCATCAAAAGGACTGCTTTCCTTTTCTTCTTCTCTTCTATATCTCTATATCATAGATTCTTATTATTATTATTATTATTTATTTATTGTTCATTCTTAATTTATAAACTATGAATTAAAAAAATATTAAAAGATAAAGTAGCATTCAGATAATACAATAACCTTTCGTGGAGGATCTTCTTTATCTTGTGCCATTATCATATAATTATTATTAGATACTTTAATATTAACAGAAAGTTTAAATGAATAATTTTTATGTGTTTATATATCAACTTTTTTCCTATATTTATAATTAAAAAATTATTTTTAATATCACTAACTTGTTTCTTAACCTATATCAATTATGTTTTTAAGTTTTATAAAAATTATAAATTTAATAATTAATTTAATAAATACATTTAATAAATATGTTATGGTAAATTCATTGTTTAATATTTTAATCACTTAAAATATTTTATGATTTGATTTTATTCAAAATTAATATTTTGCACTGCATTCGATGTTTGAAATGTATTTCAAATTGAAATGAATCAATTTATTGATATTTATTCTCTTATAATTGACTTCTTATGTAGATTTAACATGAATTATAAATTAGTTTAATTAGATTTAAAATATATTTATCTGAACTTTTATAGATTTGAAATAATAAAATGTAATCAAAAAATCAATAACAATGTACACATAAGTATTTCTAAGGATAAAAGTTTTATATACTATTTACAACGCTATGAACTTCCGGAATACATAAGTTATTTCATCATTGAAAATATAGTTCGAACTGATAGTTCCGTTGAGCACATTTTTATCATGAATATTTGAAAATTTGTCTTACATTTATTATTCATTTATATCTTCTAGCAAAAATATTGCTTTGTAATAATTACAAACTATTTTTTAAAAATTTATTAGAAATAATGCTTAAAAATACAAAAATAATAATCATTGGTGCTGGAGCAGCGGGTATTTCTGCAGCAGCCAGATTAATAGAAAAAGGATTAGAAAATATTATAATTCTCGAAGGAAAAGATCGAATTGGTGGTAGAATACATACAGTAGAATTTTGTAAATAAATTCTTTTATTATTGTTTAAACATATGTACAGAAAATTAATTTTTACTTAATAAAATTAAGAATTTTTAAAACCATCATATTTGTATACTTTCAGCTGATAATGTTGTAGAATTAGGAGCACAATGGGTTCATGGTGAACATGGAAATATTGTTTTTGATCTTGCTTCCCCACACAAACTATTAGATTCATCAAAATGCTTCAATGATTTTGATAGACATATATTTGTTACTGCAAGTGGAGAAATTCTTTCAAAAAAAGAAAGTGTAGAAGCATTCAAAATATATTATGATATTTCTGAGAATATATCAGATTCCATACATAATGCAGAATCATATGGAGAATATTTTATAAATCAGTAAGTATAAAAGTATATATATATATTATATTTATGAGTATTATATTTATATATAAAATATATTTAAAATTTATTGTTTATTATATACAAAATTAAAATATCATGGATAAGTTTATTTTGAACAATTTTGTAAAAGAATATTCTTAATAAATGCATTAATATCACTTTCTCTAAACCATGCTTGCAAAGTTGGATGCAAATTTGCTTTTGCAATTGTATATACTTCTTTATCAGAAACTATACATCTAGATAAAAAATTTATATACATTTTATTTACATAAATAAATCATTCTATTATTAGTAAACTTTTGTAAATTTACCTTATACGATAATTGACACATTGATTTCTCACATATTCATGTCTTAATAAAGAATATATATATTTTACATATTTTGCATCTAACTTATTTTGATCTTCAATATAAATTTTTTTAGAATTATTTATTTTTTTCAAATATCCTTGTGTTAATATAGGAATAATAAAATTCACCTAAAAATTAATAGTTAAGTAAATTAAAGTAAAATTTTTTATTTAAAATAAATTGAATTATTTACCTGTTTAAAACAATCATCTATAAATTCTTCTGCCCTACTATATACATACTTTTCTTGTTCTTGAAGTATAAGAACTCCAATTTTGGGTTCTTTAGATCTAAATATTTTTGCTATATGTTGTGCAGTTTCTAAACCATCATCAGCAAATGTTAACATAACTATACTGCCATATAATATTTTTGTCTATTAATAAGATAAACATAAAGTATCAATGTATTATTTAACGTAAAAAAGCATTTATTATATATTTTATAATACCTTTTGTACATTGTGTACAACATGGTTAGAGACTGCTTCATATTTTTTTATATCTTGTATAAAATAAATTGGAGTTAATACTAATGGAGCTTTTGGTATATAGTTTGGTCTTAATATAGTTGATCCTATATAAATACAATAAAAATTTGCAAATTAAATTAAATAACTATTATTATTGCTTTATTTTAATAAATATTGATAAATATTAGAATACCATCATTTTTGGCATTTTGTGAAATTTTATGAATTAAATCATAAATATCACTTTTTATTTGATTAATTATATCAAAACGTTGTATTTTTTGTAAAGCATTTAAAATCTTATCAATAGTTGCTTCAACATGTTGCACATAAGTTAACAATACATAATAAGTTGAATCTTGCAAACCTTTAAAATCATAATCTATACACTGTAATAAAAAGATTTACAAAAAAAACATAAATTTTTAAGAATAATAAGCATTAAATATTTATATGCATACACGAATTTGTTCTATTGATAAACCCATATGTGCAGCAAAATCTTGCCATCCATTATAAGTTTTGCCTGTAGCGGTAGAACTTAATAATAAACATAATTTTTGTAATATAGGTTTTCCAATTTGTTCAAATAAATAAGCAGCATGAATTTGTCTTGTAACTCTTTGAATATTTAAAATTACTGTATCTAAGTTTGGAGGTCCATTGACTTCTCTTCTTAACTTTTCCAATTCAGGATCAACATTGCTAAAATATAAAATTTTATATTTTTAATAGTTAATAAAAATATGTTTCTTTGTTAAAATTTCATTCAAAAATCTTTTTTTACCTTTTTGCAAACATATTTATAAAATATTTATATTTATATTTATAAAATTTATATTTTTATATCTCTTATAGATACAAAGAGATATAAATTTTTATCATAATTTGTAATACAATATAATAATTAAATCTTTTATAATTTATAATACAATTACATTATTATAATGCAAAAATTATATTAAATATACTATAGTTTTCTTCCTCTTACTTCAAAATTAATGATTCATTTCCGCTAATTTGATTTTACCGCTAAAATTCAAAATTTTATATTTAAAATTGCATTAATTGTGATGAAACTATATTAAATTACATTAAATATTTTAGATTTTATAAAACATTTAATGAAAATCCGTTTACTAGTCGTGATAGAGCGGAACAATTATTAGATTGGATGCACAAATTTGATAATTCTATTCAATGCAGTGATTCATGGTTTGATGTTTCTGCAAAAGAAATTACAAACTATTGGGCTTGTGATGGAGATCTTGTACTTAATTGGAAAGATCGTGGTTATAAAACATTATTTGATTTATTATCTGTATGTATATTTTTTATCAATAATGATTATCTCACATTTTGTCTATATAATATATTATTTATTGTTTTTTTTTTTTTTAGCAAAAAATATCAACTACCAAGAATAATTTTTCTATAATAGAAAAAATAGAATTTAATAAAAATGTTGATAATATTAATTATATTTCAAATGATAATATAGTTGTAAAAACGACAGATAATTCAAAATATATGGCATCTCATGTTATATTTACTGCGTCTCTTGGTGTTCTAAAAGAGAAACATATGACAATGTTCACTCCACTTTTGCCTGAAAGAAAACAAAATGCAATAAAGGCATGTAAAAGTTTAATGCTGATGAGTAATATAGAAATTTATCTCTTTTTTGGTATGCACTTGATTTGAAATGCAATTGTAATATATTATTTAGGGTTTAAATATTGGAACTGTAAATAAAGTATTCTTGGAATTCCCACATAGATGGTGGCAAGAAGAGTGTGCTGGTTTTAATTTAATATGGTCTAAAGAAGATAAAGAAAAATTTATTACATTATATGGACAAGTATAATTATTTTTTCTAATATTAGTAAATATCATCATTATTTGTTTTTAAATATATTGACCATGTATGATTTAGGAATATGAATGGTTATGTGATGTTTTTGCATTTATTTCTGTGGACTATCAATCAAGAGTACTATGTGCATGGATCTCTGGTAAATTTGCAAAACAAATGGAATTACTTTCTGATATTGAAATATCTGATGGATTGTACTTATTACTTGAAATGTTTTTAAGTAAAAAATATAACATCCCAAAATTTGATCAAATACTTAGGTAATAATCTATAATATTTTATTTTATATTTTATATAATAACTTATATAATAATAGTATGTATTATTTATAGATCATCATGGTATACAGATGAATTTTTTCGTGGATCGTACACTTTTAAAAGTATAACAACTGAAAAGCTAAATGTAGAAACAAAAGATTTAATTGATCCTATTATAACAGCTAATGGAAAACCTGTATGTATTTTTATAAATCAAATAATCAAGAAAAAATTAATTTTGTTATAGTTAATAGATATTTATTTAATAGATAATTCTTTTTGCTGGAGAGGCGACGCACGAACATTATTATTCTACTGTACATGGAGCAGTTGAAACTGGTTTCAGAGAAGCTGATAGAATAATAGATTTTTATAGGTAAATTTTATAATTTCTTCAACTTATAATCATTGTTTGAGATTTATTTTAAATAAAATAATTGCAGTACAAGCTGAAATAAAGTTTTGATTTATACATAATTCTGTGGATTAAACAGTTATTGATTATTCTAAGATAAATTCATTTTTACGATCATTGCATGATTTAAAAGATTTTTTGTTGCATCTTTGAATTTGCAAATATTTTTAATTTTTTTTTATGTTAAAAATTAATAATTAGATAGTAAAACATTTATATATACATACAAATAGATACACAAAGATAATTTGTATAATTTTTTATTTAATTTGCTTTTTTTTATTCATATTTATATTTATATTTTCTTCTTTTTTAAAGTTAAATATTTTTTGATTATTTTTTTATAATCGATTCGAAAATGGAAATACATGAAAAAAAATGGAAATTTTGCAAAGGGTTTTATTTAAGGATTATCAAAGGATTTAAATTAATCGTGCTTTGCACGTGATATTTACTATTACACATATACTTTCGTACTATTATATACTATCTTGCATTTATTGATGAGATGTTTTCTGCTACCCGGATGTTGGCTACCCGATATTTAATACCGAGCAGCATTTATCAGGGTGCAACAGATTTTTTCTTATTTTCTATTTTAAAAAAGAGGTATGAACGTAAAAGTTAATTTTAGTAAAAGCGTTTATATTGAATTATGTATTCTATTTCTATTGATTAGCATGCTTCTTCTTAGGCTGATAAAGTCTCTGCTCTAACCAGAGCCAGTTTCTTCATAACGGATAAACGGTAAATTATAAACTTACTTGATGCTTCACATTATAAAACATCTTTATATGATAAATAAGTATATATTTGCAACATATTTTTTAAAGTAATTATCTCTTTTATGCGTAATTATATATTTTTATTATTTAGTAATTATATTTTAGATAATTTTATTATCTTATGAAAAGAAAGTTAAAATACATTTTACATTAAAAAAAAAAATATGTGCATGTTTATTTTTGCTATGTTATTGATTATATTATTTATTTACAAATAATAACATTTATGTATTGAGTAATATTTTTTT